AATCTTCCCTATTTTTATTTCTTTCAGTAATTACATTGAGTCAGTAGCTCTGAAAGGCTTGAATAACTGCTGATTAACACTGACCTCTAAATGGCTTTTTAAAGAGTAGGTTTCAATTTTTTAAGTCTAGCAGTTTACTATTTTATGAATTCACTGTTAAATACTTGTTGTCAGAAAAAAAGAGTTATTATATAAAGATTATCATACTTTTTTAGCTCGTTATCTTTCGAGACACATTACTCTATCACAGTCTGATTTAATCAGAAAATCACAACACACACATCCACGGATCCAACACCACTTACATGTACTTCTCAACTTAGAAGTGCATGTACTGTAGGTGCACTTCTCACCTTTATATAATCTGCAAATCTTTTGTCTGCTATTATCTGTTATGTATTGTAACCCCACTAATATAAATAATCCATATTATAAATTTCCTGTATAATCTGTATATAGTTTTTATATTTATTTTGTAGCCTCTTACAATTACTCTCTCTTTAGATACAGCATTTAAAGTCCATGCATACATAGTCTCTAAACATATGTAAATACATTTTTATAAACTTTTATGGCACTTCTGGATAGATGCAAATTACATTTTGTTTGCTTTTGAACTTGTGACAGTGTAATGACAAAGTTGAATTCTATTTTATAATATTCTATTCTAAGAAAAAAAAAGAAAACAATTTTAAAAGGAAATTGATAAATAATTAGAAAAACATATATAATATATAAAGAATGTAAAATCTGGGGAAACTGGTTGTGTTTCAGTTCAGCTGCTGAGTCGGATCAGTTCCTCTGCAGCTGAGGGAGGTTTTTGTACGACGTTCTATCACTGTGTGAACGGGTAGTTGTAACCATGCTGACAGTAATAAACTCCTGCATCTTCAGCCTGAACTCCACTGATGGTCAGAGTGAAGTCAGAACCAGAACCACTTCCACTGAAACGATCTGGAACTCCAGACTGACGAGTTGTAGCTCCATATATCAGGAATTTAGGAGCTTCTGCAGGTTTCTGAAGGTACCAGTGGAGGCTGCTAGAAATACTAGAACTGGTTTTACATTTGATGGAGACAGTCTGACCCTGAACAACAGACTGAGATCCAGGAGTCTGAGTCAGGATGATGTCTCCTGATGAACCTGGAAAACATGAAAAATTGCAATTGAAAGAAATAATTTAAATTATGAATGACCGATAAACTGTGAAAATATTAACAAAAGCTTTATGATCTTGTTTCAATAATTCTCCATAATGAGAGAATCATAATTTTCATGGAGATCATTTCTTCCTCAAACCAAGTTCTGAGCAGAGAGTCTCACCCTGAACCAGGAGCTCCAGGATGGTCAGCAGTAGAGTCAGTAACATCATCATTGTGCTGCTGGTGGTTCAGTGTCTCTGAAAGGCCTGGACAGCCTCTGAACAACACTGACCTCTTAACAGCTGGGAGCAGAGAGGGAGGACACATATGCAAACACACAGAGTCAGTCACATGGAGCTGAACTGGCAGCATGTTTCCTCCTGAAACACATCAACATCATTAGAAAGCTGAATGGAGGAAGGTTGAAAAGGTTCCTGTTGATCTTTTTTTTTATCTTTTAGACATTAATGTAGCAACTAAGTGCATAATAAATGAAAGAAGGGAGAGTGAAGAAACAACAGACAACAAACCTTTGGGAACTAGATTGAATTGAATGTTTGAGGCAAGATCTAAAAGGGCTAAATCTACATAAAAAAGACTCTAAAGACTAAAACATCTCTAAATGTAAGCTGAGATTCTTTTAAAGCAACACTTAACTGTAAAAGAAACCAACTTATCTCTAAACAACATTTTTCCAGCTGAAAGCTCATAATGTCAAGTCTCTTCTGATAACTGAGTGAAAATAATTCACACCTTTATCTCATCCAGACTAAGTAAATCTCCAATTCTCTATTAACTAATTATTCTGTCCTTTCTTTGTTCATTTTAACTTTCAAGCTTTATAACAAATGAAACAAACCAAAATAAGATTAATTGAACTAAAAGTTTCTTTATATGTTTTGCTGAGTTTTATGCAGATTACATTTGTCAAATTATTGAATTTGTTTACTTAAAATGAAAGACATATACACAAAGTTTTGAACTTGTGGAATTTGATTTATATTCCTGTTTTTGTAAAGATGTTCTGTTAAATATCTGTTAAATAATTAACAGTGACTAAAGTAGCTTTGCTGACATTACTGATTGCTTCGTTTTTATTTTAATCTTTATAAAAACATGTAAAATATGTTTTGTTGAGTTTCTGTATTCAGAGTTAAATCAGGCTTCTTTAATCTTGAAAAATAAAAGATAACTCCCCCCTTATCATTGTTCATGGGCTCATAAGGCTCCATCATATTAAGGAGGCCGTTTCTGCTACATTATCGCTACAACATTAAAGAAACTTCTAGAAGTGAGGTGCAAGATGGGAAAATATATTGGTTATTGAATGTAAATGTTTGGTTTCATAAATATTTTTATTAGAATTAAAATAAATTGAAGAGTGTAAATATGTTTTATTGTTTATCCTTTAGTTTTAGCTCATATAGTTGCTATTAATGGAATGACAGGAGGTATTTATATATTTCTAACTAATAATAATTTAGAGGTCTACCATCCTAATGTGAATCTTAAGAAAAATACACATTTTGTCTTCATAAGGCTTAATGAAATATAATGCTGTGATCAGTCAACTGTATCAGTCTCAGCAGTAGATCCCAGCTGCAGAACAAAGTTCAGTTTCTGTTCAGTCAGACTGAGGGAGGTTTTTGTACGATGAGTTTTCACTGTGTGAACAGATTCTTACTGTTGATGTAATGAAAACTCTGACAGTAATAAACTCCTGCATCTTCAGCCTGGAAGCCACTGATGGTCAGAGTGAAGTCTATTCCATTTCCTGCTCCACTTCCAGTGAATCTGGAGGAGATTCCTGAAAATCTGGATGATGTTCCATAGATCAGAGCTTTAGTAGCTTCTCCTGGTTTCTGTTGATACCAGGACAGGCAGACCTGTGAGCTGTAGCCGCACTGAGATGTTGAAAGTGCCTGACTGGCCTTACAGTCAATAGTGACAGTCTGACCAAGCTGCACTGATTTGGCTGCTGGCTGAGTCACAACAATATTTTGTCCATCAGACCCTGAGAGGAGAGAAGAAAGACTGGAAATTAGATGATGAAGTTGAACTCATCTACACTATAAATTTTATTTCACAAAACAGAAAATGTTTTCCTCACCCTGGGTGAAGCAGAGTAGAGTCCAGATGAGGATGCTGATCAAAATCATGTTTTCTGTGTTTTCTGTTGTCATGAAGGCTAGTTGTCAGTCAACTCTCACGGCTATAAACTCTCCCAGAGCGCTGGAGCATGGAGCTGCTGATGCAAAGTGGCTCTATGGAAATTTTCTGACAGATTAAAAAGAACTGGGATCAGTGAGATGATTTCTATGAATTATTCAGGTTATGTAGGAATTTGGCAATGTGAATGTTTTTTTTTTTCATACTTTCTCTTTTTACTTTTAATCTTTTGCTCTCATTATTTTTTTTTTTTCAAATATAGATGTTTTATAATAGTAAACTCACAAGTATTTAATGTGACTTAGGAGATTTACTACTAGAAGTTTGGGAAAAACAACAAAACCAATTTATCTAGATTCATTTTCAAAAATATTTGATAAATTAATAAGTAATGTCAGACAGTTGGATTTTACAGTACCTGACTATATTTTCTTTGTCAGACACTTTTGTACGGTCTCTATATATTTATTATATATTTGAACTTGAGGTTCAGAAAAGAACAAAATAAGCAATTTAAATTCTTAAAAAGATCAAGTAGTTGAAGTAGTCACTATTGTTTTTATTAATTTTTGAATAAATGGATGAATGTTTAGATGTTGGGAGACAGTTGCTGTGAAATCTGAACATCTTCCCTTTCTAATGGAGATTGATGTTTCCCACCAAAGCCAACTGATTTCTCATCTACTTAAGATCATGTTGGACAATTTAACACATCAGTTTCCCCAATGTTGCAGAATTAGTTAAAATGTATTTTAGGCGATTTGATTCCCGGTGTTCTTGGTATTTATGATAAATATGTCTATAGTTTATTTTCTTTTTAAATGACCCATCTCTCCTGACCTTCCTAGACCGGAAGGGCATCCAGGTTTGTAGCCCAGGTCCCTCACATTAGAATCATTGCCTTTAATCACTCCAAAATGGGGACATCTCTTTCTCTCAGACGCTGTTTCTTAAAATGTTTTTTTTTTTTTGTCCTCATTGCACAGTTATATATTATCTGACATGTTAGATATATTTAGCTGCGTGTACCTATAAATACAAAATATGCACCAACTAACTAATAAACACTTCACCCAAGACTGTATTACCAACCCTGAACCTTTATGGATGCAGATATTATATATTATAGAGGGACATAACCAGGCCAAGCAGAATGGCTAGAGCTCCACAGATAACTTCAAAGACTTTGCAAACAAAGTCAAACATTTAAAGCATTGATATCACATTTTTTTTTAACTCACACCACAACGGAACACAAATGTTTAGTCATCAGAACCTTACAACATCCCCCTGAGCATATCCCTACAAAAACAGAAGGGAAGCACATCAAATATACTCTTCAAGCCTGTGGATACCCAAACTGGGCATTTGTCAAATCTGCAAGGAAATCCCAAAAAAGCGCAGCCGAAGATAACGGTGAGAAGATTAAACGAAAAAACATTGCCGTCTCATACTGTATGTTGCTGGAGTCTCTGAAAAACTCAAGAGGATTTTCTCAAAAAACACAAAATCCCAGTAAATTTTAAACCAATTAAAACCCTTAGACAGAGATTAGTGCATCCAGTGCAGTTCAGTGCAGTGAGGAATGCTCTGATCTTTACATTGGAGTAACCAAACAACCTCTCCACAGACACATGGCCCAACACAGAATAGCGACCTCCTCGGCACAAGCCTCTGTCGTACATCTACACTTTATGGACAAAGGACATTCTGTTGAGGACCAGAATGTTAAAATTTTGGACAAAGAAAATACAAACAGAGGGGGTGGACTCAGGTTTCAGCTTTAAAAAACCTACAATGCAGCAATTGAGTTAATCCCTTCCCGCTATCTTTGCAGCCCCTGTACAGGAGAGTGCAGGATCTGGCCTTTTCAGCCAGGCCAACAATTCCCTTTAACGACCCCTTTCAGACACTTACGATGGGTATGGGGCATTGCAGGCTAACAAAAGACGTCAAACGACCCCCATTCCAAAGGGTTGGACCCTTTCGTCCGTTTCAATTTGCATGTTTCCAAAACAAAAACTACGCTATTCCTGACATCTTGAATTTAAAAAAGTTCCTGAATGGCAAGAGAAACATTTCCAAACTTGGAAACAAAGTCCAGTGGATTGTTTTTCATTTTCTTTTTCTGGTTTGACATAATATGGATGACTGAGAATCTTCACCAGCATAGATCATTTCATGTGTTCACTGTTGGGCAGAAAGCAGTTATTCTGAATCAAATAATTTAGCTCTGTGATGTTTTCAGAATAGATGATATCAATAAGGTAAACTCACTCAGAGTTTATGGTGAACCAGATCTTAATAAGAAGCTCTGATTAATGGAAAGTAAAGAAAACGATCAACCATGGAGAATGGAAGGAAATATGAGGCCTCAAAGTGAACAATTCTATCCAGCTTTATCAACTTAATTAGACAGATTATTTGGCTTAAGTCTACAACAGCAGTTTACAATATAAAAAAGGTTAAACATTATGATTGAAATTGAAAAAGAGCAGAAATGCAGCTTAAATTAATATTGTTCTCCAGTTAATGCTACCTGTCAAGAAACTGAACTACATGTTTAATTGAAAATGAATACCTTAAAAGCATAGGGGAGATAAAAAAAAAAAAAGGTATCCTTTATTCATTAAAACAGCAATAACATGATGCCACCGTTTTTGACTCCTGTTACTGTACTGGCTTGGTTTCCACCAATTATGATTTGGACCTATAAAGCCTGGTTATTTTAAAATAAGAAGTCTGCATCTGTCCCACATCTGACCCAAATGAAGTAACTAGGTAGAACCTGTGGCCCAGATCCATTCCTATCCCAGATTCATAGAAGCAATTTAAAACATGTGTCATCTCAAGGCACTTTACAGAGATCATTCAATCAGATTAAACGTTCCTATTGGTTCAAAGTTTTCTATCTCAGGAAAAGTAGCTGATCGTATCGACTCAATGATTCCACATCAATCCCTCATAGTACGTTGAGCATGCATGCAGCAACAGTGGAGAGGAAACTCTCCTTGAACAGGAAGAAACCTCTGGCAGAACCAGACTCAGTGTGACCGGCCATCTGACAACTGAGAGCTAAAGGAGAGAGAAGCAGACATACAAAAAGAAAAATAGAAACAGTGAATTAGAAAGAGTTTCCATATGAAAAAAGTTACAGTAAACTGGTGGAAACAGCTGAACAGACGAGCTCTGAGCCAGTTTTTATGTTGAAGGGAGGAAAGAGAGCACATACAGTTAGTCACAGTAAATGCTGGGCCTATTGTTATGTCTAGAAGAGAAACAGGACAAAGCCCTTAAAAACAGGCCCAATTCTATCATATATTATCAAAGGTGTTAATGCCAGCAGCCCAGCTGAAATTTCTCTCCATCAGGGTCTCACAGCCAAATAGGAACAGACCAGATGAAGCTTTATGTCGGGAAAGAAGAGCGAACAAAATTTAGGGGTTAAACTAACAATACTGTAGATTCTTTAAGCCTTTTTAGAAAAAGACCTTGTCGGGTTTACACGTCTGTGCCGGATTCTCTCCTATATTTGGCTTGAGACGGCCCAGTTATACTTTTTTTTTTCTAATTTCTTTTTTCTTTTCTAATAAATTGGTATTATGTTTTCTCTAAACTTTATTCCTTTTTATTCTAAAAATATGTTCAAAAAGTGTTTTCTTTTTAAGTACGTTTCAACAGGATCCCATTTAATGAAAGACCTTTGTTGTAATGCGGAGGAAAAGTGTAAAAAATAATAAAATAATTCAAATATTGTAATAATAATAAACGGGGTTAACTGTTTTTACCACACTAAAACTGTTCATGTAGAGTTTGTTGTGGTCAAAGTTAGAGAGCCGTGTCTTTCTACAGTGAAAGATTTTTGTACGACGACTCAGTTTGTATCACTGAGGTGGACTTTTGGTGGAGGAACCAGACTGGATTTTGGATGAAAGTTTCTGAATATTTGAACATAAATGATAAAATGAAACAGACTGAGTGTTAAATGTAGAATATTGACATTTTATAACGGCTTGATTTTGCTCGTTCAAAAGGGTTTTATTCTCTAAACTTACAGTGATTCTGACGTCCAAACATGAAGGCCTTCATGACTTCTTTTTTAGTTGACAATGAAAACAAGTTTATCCGCATAAATTTTAAGTGGCAGCAGAAAAAAAAGAAAATAATCATTTTGTAAAACCTGCACAAAATTCATGACTAATTTAGTGGTATCAGCCAGCTATTTTTAAAGAAAGAGAGGAAGCAAATACCTTCAAATGATAATGAAAATGATGAAAACCTAAAATTAGTTTGTTTCTAATTATGTCAAATACTTAAGTGATATATTTCTGGTTTTTGTCTTATTAATTTATTTAACAATAAAATGGTTCATTGTATTAACATTGTATTAACTTTGAATGTGTCTAAACAGATACCTTAGCTAATCAGCAATGTTCTGAAATAACTCAAAAGGTTTGATTTGGTAACAGTTCAGTTATTTGGTGAGAGATTATTGGTTTTACAGTAAAAATTGTGAATGGATGAGGTTATATAACTCTTGCAAGAGTGAAAAATAGAGAATAAATGAAATATACTGTTATGTTGAGCTATCATTTTATGCTCTATCAGAGATATATTGCAGCTTAGAGTTTAGTTTTCATTTCTGTTATACTGGTCATATCAGGGCTCTGTGTGCTGATATGCATGAAAGGTTCCTTTAATGGAAGTGAAACAGTCTGTGAGGGAGTGACTGATGGAGTGGAAAGAAATTTAACTGAAGAAACTTACAGAAAGTAATTTTTTTCTTTCTGAGTAACGGTGTGGCTGTACCT